AAACTTTCATTGTAAGTGGGCTGAAGCAGTTAATTAAAAGTAGTCTAACATAAATGCTGTAATTTGATTATTTTAATAAACATGTAACTTGGATGGATTTGATGCTGGCGTGACCACAGTGCACACGTCTGCTGTTGCTCAGTTTGTGTGTTCGCTCAGACACGTGAAACATTAGAGGGAACATTGATGGTGGGTGGGGCTTCTGGCTAAACTGAGTTGTTTTGTCACCTTTTTCAGTCGAGAACATTTCAACAAGTTCAGACAGAACAAACTCTTCTGCTCTGCAAACCCAGATGTTCATCTGGCTCAGTCATTTATGAACAAGGTTTCTAGTTTCTATGCACGTGTCCAGGTCACACTAACAGTCACGCATCTTTTTAAGTTGACTGAACAGAAAACTACAGCAGGTCTGATTATGTAAGAGTTAGAAACAGGAAGCAGAGGAGCAGCCCCTCCCTCGGGTCACTGAAGATGGATTTTGACAGAGTTTTTAAACTTGAATAAATCTCATGCAGTCATGAACATTAAAGAGATTTATCACATTTTTCACTTTAAGTTTCAGAACAAACATGACCTGCACATTTTACAAAACAGTGAGATGTTAGCTGACTTTGGCATTTTTCCTCTTTAACATCACTCAGTTTGTTGCATATTTTCCTCCAGTTTTACTTAAAGATCTCAGCATCAATTCAGCTTTTATCGTGCAGGCTGGTTTAAACCAGCATCCCCCGGCCTCACAGAGGCTCTCCTCCGGTCAGATCAGAGTTAGCGGTTTGAGGACCGGTTTGTTCTTTAGCGCCTCTCTAATGAAGCCGCAGCTCAGAGTAACATCGTGTTTCAGCTGCAACAGCTTTAACTTTAAATCTGAGCTCTTTCATTAAACCGAGCTTCAGCCTAATTGTTCCACTTTGACCTCCGAACTACATGACAAACTGTACTCTGAGTGTTACCTGTGCAGGTGAGTCAGGCGCGTCTGTGGTGAAGTCTCGCGGATGCGTCTCTGGCCCAGCTGTGCGGTTACTGCAGCAACGTTAGCGCGAGCGCACCGGTTTTATCCGCGCTCGCGGGACAGCTGGCGTTTCCCATAAAAGGTAACGTTCTGACAGCCGCGCTCTAATTGGTCCAGGTGACCAGGAGCTCGCAGGTGCTCTCAGCTGGCGCGCTGATTGGCTGTAGGAGGCATCCGTCAAAGGGGAGGGGCCAGCACCAGAGACGGAATCCTGATTTCTCCTCCGCCACAAAAATCCTGCAAAGGTTTTAATCTAATATGGAGTCCACTTGAGAGCGAGGACGCTGATTGGCCAGGAGCACCGGAAGTACGCTCTGGATTAAATGTAGTTTATTCTCTGCGCTGATGAATATTAAAGAAAGCCGCAGTAAACCAAAAATAGCTGAGTATACATCACACAAATCACCCAGAAGGTCAAACAGGAGGAAATAATAATACAAAAAAACTTTGTATTAACTATTTATTTATTCAAGTTCAAATGTTTGGTCACATGATTGCAATCAGGAACCACTGACTTGGAAAACTGTGACTGGAGTGAAGCGAGAGCACGAGGGGTGAAAGCAAACATCCTTCATCATTCTCCTCTCTGAGACAGAAACGTGAAAGGAAACGTTTTAGTCGTTGTAGCTGCTCATGAAACAAACTTCCAGGGAACTGTGGAGGAACTCGGCGTGACTTTGTGGCTCTGCAGAGCTGCTATCAGCCTGATGATCCACAGGTCTGTGCAGGTACAGATAAACGCTCCACCTGAGGCAACAATAAGTGTTGGCGTCCTGTTCCTGCCTCTGTGAGCCGGACTGACACAGAGGAACACTCAGACACACTCAGGTCATGGTCTGAACGTAGTTTTCCTCTTCTAACACACAGAAGGTCTTTCCAAACTCAAGGTTAGTATTTTAACATTCATGGGAAAAAAAGCAGAGTTTCACAAGCCTGTGAGCTGCGTCAGATCATCGTGGGCGTAAAATTAATCTGACTCTAAACTAACGATCAGTGGCTGTTCTGGGATGTCGGCTGTGCAGCATCTGAGGTTT